ATAGTCAATAGAAGTTTATTACTCTGTACAGGTACTCACTTCTGCGACTGGCGCTATTTCCGGCATAGACCAATGATGGCATGGCAGCAGAATCTGCTGTAGAAGTCTAATGTGTACAAGTGGTACTGAGTCAACAAGAAATACCTATTTCATCAAAATGGTTATACTGTGCAGTATTATTCGATGTTGGTTAGCAAAAAGTGAATATTCTTCACAAGGCGTTAATACATGTATACACTACAGAGTGTGGAATAAGGTCTATCTGAGCCTATATTACACCATATATACTGCGTAGATACCCGCACTGAAAACACAAATCTCCATGACCTCTATTGCTTACGACAGCAATAGCAACTTCAATAGTTTGCGGATATACTAATTATCCGTGAATTTCGAGAGAGCGGTCGACAGACCCTCCCAAACCTACAAAGCAGGCCTATACCATAATATCGACAAATAATCGACAGGTAACTTTTGAGCTCTATTCATATATCGACTTTTTATGGGGCAGAAGTCTGTCTTATAATTACATGAACAAATGGATTGGTCAGCTAAATTACATGGCAATTGAAGGACCAGCATAGAGTGTACTGTCGCCTGGAGCTAGCTAGTCTGGTTTATTGGAGACTCATAGGTAATAGCTGACAGGGTCACAGTTTCGTAGTGGAGTAAGTTATGAAAGCTATATATAAGAGAATTATAGCAATAGACACGCTATAGACAAGATGATAACAACGTCTTTGGCGCCATTGCTTACGGTTTGCCACAAATGTCAGTGTCCTCAGTCTCAGAAATACGATCAAAACCTGTACACTCGCCTGGTATAACATATGATGATTCTAAACGTAAAACGTACACGCTTCCTCGTAGAATTCGCCACTGTCTTCTTTAATAGCAGTTCTGCACGTACGTTTATTCGAGTATCGCAATAACGAAATGATAGATACGGTGCCGTACAGGTGTACATGCAATCTGCCGGAGCCAATACGCCTTCATTCGTCAGCAGGAGTATGAATCTTCTTATATTGTGGAATATTTTTATCGAACAAACAAATAAGTATTACGGGCTTTACAAACGCTGAGCGTGTATCTATGCTAAATCATATACACCGTCTAAAGACCCATAGGCTTTAGCAAGTTAGCTAAGCCATATCGCTAACTTGCTAAAGACGTCTCTTTATCTTATCTTGGCTATTTCGAGTCATTAAACGTTAGTTCGGACAACTGACCGGTTTTGTTAGCATGTAGCGATCTGTTTTTCTATAGTCGGATTCGAATCTGGACCATCTCACGTGTCCCTACGTGAGTCCCTCTCACGTGACTTAGAAGGCAAGAATAACAGAGCAATTCTAATAATAATAGTCAATAAATGAACATTTAAAAGGAAGACTATGGAAAATATCGCTGTTTTTGTAACAGCGGCATTCCCTAAAGGAGTTACTATATCTATTGTGGATTTTTCAACTCAAATTCTGTATTCTCTTTGGAGCTGACAGATGGAATCCTTCTATATAGCACAAAGGGCGCCAAACTCGTTCGCCTACCTTAATAATTGCTTGTTCTATAGACTGGCACTAATCTACACCGTCATCTCGTGCGCTGCATCCTAAACGACTTATGGTCTAACCTAGCTTTTAGGCGTACGGATATTCCGTGGATAATCTGTCACAGCACATTGTCCATATAGACTTATACATGTAGTATAGTCGATACCGCATATATGTTTCGAAAAATCGGTCCACTTTATTTTTAAAAGCATCAGTAACGGAATTGTGAGTAGATTTCATGTTAGTACGACTGTCAGCATGTCTACGTATAGGTTTCGTTGTTTACCTGTTTCTTGCCGTAGCCGAGAATACTAAAAAGTGAAGATGCTGTTGATGATCGCGATGATGACGTTGGCGATCTAGAAAATAATCAGGGCTCACTTCTTCCGATTTTGATAACGGTAAAAGGTCGCCGCCACGAATCTAGATCACAACTGCTATTTTTTCTCGTTGCGGGGCGCAAATGTTTCACGCTAAGATTAGAAGCTCATCTTTGTCAGTCAATATAGAACAATTACGGACAAAGCAAGAACTAACGAAACACTGCAATTCAGAGCGAAAAAATATTTTAAAAAAATAAGAAAAAGATATATCTTTTACTAACTTCTTCGATTATTATATTTCAGCCATAAAGTTAATGAATATATACCCTCTCACTGTTGTATATACCCTTTTTTAAATACGACAGTTTACTCTTTTACATAACAAACCCTCGGAAACAATGTCGTTTTACGGCAGAAAATCGTAACTCTTCATCTTGCTTATGACGTGTTAAAAACGCTTATATCTAGATATTTGCTAAAGATATTTACTTGAACTATAAGCTAATATTAAGTAGTACCTATTTACGAACAACCGCTCCACTCTGTCCATGCAGGAACAACCATGATATGGTCAGGCGGTAGGAAAACAATCTGAATTATCGGACGCACCTACATCCGCTTGACAATCGTACTAGCTTCGCAGCTGACCAGCCCGTGTGGCGAATTTTTCGTGAAGGAAAATTTCGCCCAGATAATAACTCAGTAATGTTACGACGATATCAGTTAGGTGCTAACAGTCTGGAGAAGGTCTCACTGGTTCCGTGCCTCCCGCACTTTATGATGGTAGAATTCGTGTGATCGTGGCTCTTAGTAGTTAATTTATCAGAAGATGAGGTCTCAGCGCTAGCGTCAAACGATGTTACCATATTCTAGAACGGCCAATGGGCGAACGTGTTATTCTATGAATAATCTATAATTTAATAGTTACTTGTGTAGTTCTACCTTGGACATCAAGTAGCAGCTGACAGAGCAGTTAACTTGAAGTTCTTTGCACAATATCTGATTGAGTTACGCAACGTCGCCTCTATTCGATTCTACTATATAGTTAATACTTACGACTTTTCTAAGGATTCTGGTTCTACCTAACTTGAAGTTCCTTCTAAATGCATCAAATTCAGAGGATGCGGAGAAGGCCATTCTGATAACACAGTAAAAAAACCGCTAGACAGTAGCCCATACACAGTGATAATTTAGTCACATATTCGCTACTTCTGCTGCGTAACGTATCACCTAGACGTCTGTTCTCGTACTGGGTCAATGAAAATAACTGGATTGTAAATTGGCATCGAAGCGGCAGTAACTAGGCTCAAGTAGGCCCAATGTACCGCAAAAATAGCTAAACATAAGTGTGAAAATAAAGTACAATAGTGACGGTTTTATGCGCTCGTAAAACCGGAATGACGATCATCATCTAAAATAGCCACAACTTATCTAATCTAAGCCATCTGCATCTTGGAGTCATAAATATGTCCGCTTAATTCGACGGTCCAAGAGCCAATAGCCAGTTACTTCAACCAACGATGAAGTACTTGTTAATGTAAAAAATATTTCGCTAAAACGCCATTAACTTATCTCGGTTTTATTAGCCGAACAAAGCTACAGACCAAAAGGCCTCGGAGTCGATAACGGTTCACGAAACCATAAATAACATGTAATTTTCTGTTTATGATCATCAGTTTTATATAATTACTAAATCCTATATTAGGGATGGCATATATAAAATAATATGGCAACAAAATAATTGAATCGTCGGTTTTGGCATTCATTCGAGGCATGAAGCACGTCGAAATCTAAAAACAAAGACATCAATCAAAAAAAGACACCCTTCAACGCTCGAAACGAGGCTGTCTAACATCTATATGACCCGTGATTTGCAATGTTTCGAGGCAAGTGTGCTTACTCTCACTATGTTGTACACTTCGTCATACAGTGATAAACATACACAGTGCAAATAAAACGTTCTCTAAAGCAGCGCCAGAGCTTCTTACCCCTGTAGTGGCTTCCAGTAAATATCTCATACTGCAATGTGATACGGTGGGCATATTGAGGTGAATAGTAGTAATCATCTCTAAATGAGTTTTTTAGCCGAAATTTACAGAAATATATAGCATTAGGGACAAGTCGGTTGAGAGAAGCATTTCAGGAGTGGAAATTCACTACGGTCTCATAAACAATTTTAAATAGTTCTGCAATCATATTTGTTAATCAGAATTGTAGCGGAGCTTTCTGTTAGCCACAAAAAAGAGGCCACGACAAACAGGGAATGGACTGCGAAAAAACAAGGTCAGGCCGAATAACGGCTGAACATTCGACATTTCCGTTGGTCGACAAACTGTAGAACTTCACATGTTAGCCTTAGTTAGCGGTAAATTACCTTTTGACTTCGGCCTGCGACTCAATTCCATTAGACGAGAAAGAAAAAGTGACCTTCAACGCCGATGGAAGTCTACTAACTATTTTCCTTTGATCAGGTTCAAAATATGCCAGCTGTACGATTGCCTTCGAGTAACAATGTATCGATATTGTAATGTAAATCGCGTTCGCATTGCTACCGATTGAGGGTACCTAATACTTTTGTTATTGCTATCCATGCAAGAACTGGCAGCAATTTCAGAAACTTACAGGATTTTTTGCCGTTGAGCAAATCTCGCATAATACAATACACAAGTTAGAATTAGAGTTAATAATCTCACAAGATAAGCTTGCTTGATCACGTATCTCTAGAGTTTCACAAAAATCACGAAGCTCACATTTAGCACGATATATTTATCACATTATCGACAGTGGTAAGGATTTGTTGGTAGTTAACGCCGTTATATAACCTAACCCTCTGAGTTCTATTTACTAATAGAAAATCACACCTTACTTATTGATAATAACACTAACTTTTATTGATTCCGTTTTCCCTGCAAACAGTAATACGCATTATAAGCAGCTTGTGCAATAGCGGTAAGCTGTTGCCGCTGTTTTAGCTGCTCGGTCTTTATTTTCGTTTTGCTATACATTGTTATTGCCACTTTCGAAGCGGCGAACATTTCTCTCGTCATAACTTATTTGATTCGGTATGCCTGTCATACGCCAATGCGATGTCTCATTGGCGTTCTACGTACAACACGCGCTTGTTATACAGGTTCACGGGTACAATTATCTACTCAGTTCGACATAACACGCGACTGAGCGACGTCGCGCGGCCGACGTCCGCAAGAGTCATTTGTGAAAGCTTCGGTGATTGGCGGCGCCACCATAGCCGTGGCCGCGGCCGCGGCCGCGGCCGCCCTGAAAGCCAACGGTGACCAGACGACTTAATCATAGCAACGGGACGTCGGTTTTGTGCGATTGTAGAGAGGGTGCACTGGCAGCCGCTGAGGGCTAAGGCCCACCTGTTGACCAGTAAACAAGGTAAGGCTAAACGCTGTAGCAACACGAGCGGAAGGGGCCAAAAGGCCAGTCATTCGTTTCGGTGTATTCCATCCTACATCCCAGCGTCGCAACAAGGTAACAGCGATGAAACCGAAAGGGAAGAGATTACTTTTTGAAAAAACGCAGTTGGGGTTTATGACGACCCTGAAACCGCTGCTGTGGCAATTGCGCCAGTTCGTGGCTGTGTGTTTTTGCCTTACTTTCCCTTTATTGCTGCGTATTTTTGGTGTTACTAAAGCAACTGCTGCTGCTGCTTCTAGAGATGCGCGGATGATAACAGCGGAGCTCCGTGGCAGAGCTCCGTTTCCGAACTCTAAATTTAGAATGATGCAAAAAGTAATGCACGAAGAAGCTGCGTGGAAAAGAATGACCGCGTGCCCGTTCGTGCCGACCGGTAATATAGGCGAAAACGTCCAATCAAAAGTCGAGAAGAGAAACTGGCAAGGTTTCTTCGCTGCTGATAATGACGAATCACGATAGAAAACTGTGACGGACGCGCCTTTTCGTTGTTGTCCCTTGTCGCGTCTTTACACGATGACCCGACACGATGGCAGTGGATAGCCAACCGTCGGTACAGCAGTTTGTAAATTAGGTAATTGTTTTATGGCAGCAGTGAAGAGTTATGAAGAATTCGTTTCGTATGGAATCTGAAAATTTGTTGCTCGTGACTTATTGAGTTAGGCCCAATAGCAGAGTAAGAAAAAAGGCACTTCTGGCAATCTGGGCTTCGTTAAATCACTCTATGTTTTAAGCGTGTGAAAATTGCGTTATCACTGCGACCCCCTATTGGTCACTCAGGGTGTTGAGCGTTCGCAATTTGGCAAAACACTTCAACGAAACAAAAAGTTATAATATGGCTTCTATTTAATCAACTGGTAGATGTTTCGCAAAAGGCGAAACATGAGTTATCCTAGCAGAAAAAGCCTACGAATACCCTAGAGGTTAATTTAATTTCGCTGAGATTTCTCAAACACATGATACGCATGCGGGATCGTAGAAACACGACACATAGCTTTATCGATATAGAAAATTAAATTGTTCCACCTTACCGGACGAAGCTCCGCTTCAACGAGAAAAGCTATGTTGACACCATGGGTACGGAGAGAAACTCAGACATTTTCAAAATATCAAATTCGAACCGCTCGAGACAAATCTATCGCTTAGCGTCTCCATAGTAGTAGAAATGTCTCCTTCTCAATTTTTGTTGAGCCTATATGATTCGTGGTCAGGCATCGAGTCAATGCCGCAGAACGAGTCAACGATCGCTCGTTTTTGGCTTCGGAAACGGATTTCATACAAGAAAAAAAAAGAAGAAAACGACAGTTGCTGATTTTCTGAAAGTTAAATAAAAGCTGATTGTCGGAAATCGTCATATCGTTAATAAATACTGATCATTTAGTTTTAGCCTCTCCATAAAAAATGCCACATATTTGTATGACATTCAATTACAATACCGCAAACAATAACAAATAATGCAATTTTAGGTCAATCACTTTAGCCCTTTACTTGTTATACCTAAAACCTAGTTGGAGGCCATTATTACTTATTGGTAAGTTAGCAAAATGGTTTTAATCACATCTGACATGTTCTTATAACGAACTTACGTGCTTAGAATAAAGTTTTATAGACAGTAAGGAAAAAATTCCCAATTGCAACAAAGTTCGACTGTATTAAAAGTGATAAAACACATTCGTAAGTAACGCCCTCCACTTTCGAATAGCGATATCGATACTGGAATGCCTTGGGCTTTATGTCTGGTCATTTGGCCGTTAGCCATTGCTTAAGGATGGGTGACTCCTGGACAGGACAAAACGATGCTGATCTTGACACTTTAGAATGAGTTGATCGTGAAAAAGGCCTCGGGAATTCCATCAAATTTCTACCAATAAGTAAGTAAATTAATTGTGCAACCAATAATATCCAGGCAGATATTGTCGGTTTCGTAATGAACCGCTATTTGAAATAGAATAAAATTCCCATTAAAGGTATCGGCCAATCCTGCCAATGAATGGGTAAAGGGAAAACCTTATTTGTTATTTATGCAGCGGACGTGAGATATTTTAACACATGGAGATTCGTGCGTCTCGCGTTAAATGCAGGATAGCTAAATGTAAAAGATGGCTACAAGTGAACACTAACGTAAGTGAGGAACTTTACATGCAGTTAAACTTGAAAGTGAAAAATTCTATTATTAACATTGTGCACACACGCAGCCTTGTCGTCTTAGCGTAAACTTACACTCGTCGATAACATTTTATCGTTGCATTATAGCAGATTTGGCTTTCAGCGAACGTACGCCAAATGAATCGTCGTCGCCCTGCAGACTGTACCCGAAGTACACACTAACTATAGTGCCATATAGAAGCCCTTCTGAAAGCTTTCAAAATGTTGTTTTTCATGGCTACAGTTTTGGTTGCCGGGAGACAAAAAAATAAATCACTCAATGACCTTGTTTTAATTAGTACCGCTTGATGGTCATGTGCTACTTCAAATAGACAGTTAAATGGCAGAACACACGTTATCGAGTAGTAATCAGTGGGGTTTTAATATGAGCATAAGCGTTTCCGGTTTCAACACGCTTGGCTTTTAGGCATTGTAATATGACCCGGAAGGAAGTAGAAACAACCTATTTCTAACCGCAGAAAACCTTAATTAAAAAAATATAATATATGTTTGACTGATCAATATAATGTCTATAATACATAATAGCTAGGCACACAGTATTGCAGGCTTAACAAGCTTAAGGGTCTAGATCTACAATACATCATGTAAAACTTTTTCTTTTAGATAACGATTGGCGTATAATATTGAGCTGGTGCTTGGTTTATTGACGTTAAGCGAGTGGTTATCCAGTCCTTTTAAAACTAAATAAATAACTGGTAGTCCGAGATAAACAGTGTTAGAAGGTGGCTTGATCGACAAAACATCATCGTCGAACATATCTAGTAACGTCTGTTGTAAACATGACTTGTGGCGCTTCTATTATTCTTCATCTAGTCGAAGGCGGCAGAATAAACAATACAAATATACCCTGTTAGATACAATTAATTGATTTATGATGAACAGTTGCGAGGTTAGTCTCTGTATACATAAATAGATATATATAGAATACATTATCGTACGATATCTTTGAATACCCAGTTTGCGTTTTGATGAGATAAAGGCGTGGTCCAACTGAGCACACACACAATATTAATGATATAATTAAACTAAATGTTTTTTTCTAGCCTAGAGCAGATTCGAGCAGAATAATTTCCAAACGCCGACGCCTCTTAACTGCAAACTGCCCGAGCTTACATGTTTACCGCAGCACGAACAGAAGAACCGCATAGACATAATGTATCTAGTCGGTACATAGTGAGATTATCAATGTCAGATAACAATTTACCATTTCAAACTCACCTGGATGTTAGCACGAATTACATCACTCTACACTGTCTTTTTTCTAGCTATATCACTCGGCAAAGAAACTTGTCAAGACTGATTAAAGCCAGCGGCCCCGGTTACATGATTACCATACACGGGTTGACTGACGGTAGTAAGTGGAGAGTTTTTGTACTATCTTTAAGGTTGGTTAATGCCTCGTTCTATAGCCTCGTCGTTAATAAGTTCAAGTTTAAGGAGGCTACAATACATTTCCACCTATACTTTCATATGGAGGTGATTAAAAAATGCGATCAGTTATACAACACAGCTCGATAAAAGTTTCAGAAATGCGTTAGTGCGGGAAATACGCTCATTCTGTAAGGAAAGCGGGAACCTAAAGGCAATAGAGTCTTAGCGGAGGATCAGCTGAAAGGAACCAATTTATAGTAATTGTTTTTACTGTCTCAGAAAGCTACGAATCAGTTATAGCAAGTGGGTAAACTTGAAGCAAGTCGCCCTCGGTGTTGCGTACCCGAAATTACAGGACATATATATATATATATATATAAACATTTCAGATAAGATAACCACCAAGAAAACAATTTGATGGTAATTGTAATGTATTTTTCGATAGAACAGCGCCATTGTTAAGCATAGTATATTTACTTGTTGTGAATTGGTTCACTAGTAGTTATAACGAAATTTGCAGAATATTTTGAAGGAAGACGTTTCCTTCCAGCAACAGAAAACAGAGACTCAGCGAGATCAACAGCTCGTATTTGCTAAGGGAAGTAGGAAAGTAGCAAATAGTCTAGAGTCAGTAGCGTTTCAAAACGTCTCAACGACCCCCTTCACCGAATAGCCATATTCAGTTCCTGTTTGTTCAAACGAATCTCTCCACGTATTCCTGATGTAAACGGCTGACTTTAGAGTCGTTCGCAGATAGGGGCTGGAGACATAATCATTTGTGTTGTTCAACTCGCCTACAAACGGGATCGCACTGACCGGACCAGGCGCATACTACGCTTTTTAGCTGAATCTAGCTTGATTTTAGTTGTGATTGTAACATCGTAGCTGGTAGTATACGTCATCGTAAAGGTGTATTGAAGGTCTTCACAACGATGCTATCCGGTTTGCCTTTGTTAGCACAAACGCACGTGTAGTCCAGCGTAGCGCTTAGTCCAATCATGGCAACAGTTACGGGTGTAAAACTTCTGCAAAATCGTAAAAATTGTCTGTTCACCATTGCTTTCGGCTTTTACGTCTCTTTAATAATTTCGTACATTTGTTGTTTGCCGGTGACTAGTCACAACGAACTTCTTGCACACATACAAAATTAAACCAGGAAAGGAATATGATTTTATGTATAACTAGTGACGAAAGCAATTATATACTAGAGAAAGGCCTGAAGGAGTATACAAAAAAAAAATTGTTTTATTGCAACACAGAGCAGTAACGTGCACGTATCATGAGTCGGGCATGCATCATTTCTGAGACGTTCAAAATCGCTTGTACACCACAAACATTATCCGTCAAAAAAGACTATTTAAATAAAGCAAGTCTAAAACTAACCTTATATTACGTTTACATACACAAGCCATCTTAGTTCAGTA